TCAAACATCTCATGAACCTTGCTGTTTATGGATGGTCAAAAAGCTCTTGGACTTCATCTGAGTAACTATCAACAGAATGTGTTATTAATTTAAAATAACAGAAACTGAAAATGCAAAAAATTGAAAAAAGAAATAGAAATAGAAACGGACACAGACACACATTCATTATTTACTAGTGAAATACAGAAAGTATTTTCAAAACCGCAACCTTTTCATGCTGTTTAGACATTCATTTTCACAAAAATGCAGTGGGATGTACCTGAAACTGAACCTTTTTGAAAGCTCTGCCAGTGGTAAGATGTCTTGCCATTTGCTTGTGATGTTGGATTGTGCGCTGTTATCTCCTTTGCTTCACACTGGACTGTGTGTTGTCATCAGTTTTTGCTAGATCGGATACGGTTGTCACTGGAAGTTTACGAGAGTTATTTATATTAATTATTTAATTTCCCTTTTTTTGTATTTTATTAAGATCTACCCCCACCCCAACCCTAAACCTAATCGTCGCAGTACCGTAAAAACAGTAGTGGTATTGAGTTATATTTATGCTATCTATTAAATTACCCAATAAATTGTATTTTTTTTAACGCCTACCGCGACCCCATTCTTACCCCCAACTGTTACAGTACTGTAAAAATATCAATTATTGTTTTATAGTGTCATAAAAAATGCTGCTATATTGATGTGCAAATCGCACTTCTGGCCAGGCCTGTCAAATCTAGACTTTACCACTGTCATCTCCATTTTTGAGGTTTCTGATTGGCTGACACAAGCCTTGTGTTTTATTGTTTTATCGCCACCTGTTGGCAGTGGTGGAAAGAGTACTGAAAAAACATACTTAAGTAAAAGTACCATTACTTGCCTAAAAATGTAGTGTGAGTAGAGTAAAAGTACCTGTTGTAAATGTTACTCAAAGTAGGAGTAAAAAGTATCCCTTTCAAAAGTACTCATGAGTAGTGAGTAGTGAGTGTTATGCTGTTAAAAGTTGATGCATTTACATGTAATTTGTGGATGTGTGTAAATGTAACATTCTGTAGTGCATTTAGGTATTGCCCAACAGGCACATAATGTCATAAGACGTTAATATTAGGTTAGATTTAGGTTGTGATGTCAGGTGACCAAAATTCAATGTCTAGCCAGCGACTAAGGACAACATTATTTTGATGTCCGATAATGACATCAAATGACGTTGATATTTGGTTGATTTTAGGTTGTTAGAAAGTGACCAAAATCCAATGTCGAGCCAACATCCTAAACCAACATCTTATTGATGTCAAATACTGACATTTTTTCATCAGTTATGGCAACCAAAATTCAACGTCTGATAGATTTCATAGTGGTAACTTCGACACAACGTCAAGCTGTAACATCATTAGACGTTGATATTTGGTTGGTTTTAGGTTGGACGTTGGACATTGACATTGGGCTGACGTTGAGTTCTGATGTGAACCCGATTTTCATTTCCAAACAAAATGCAGCGTTTCCACGACATTAGGGTACAGTTTCAATCTGACGGCATGTTGACATCTTGTGCCTGCTGGGTGTTTAAAGCCATTTCGGTCATCATACAGTAAACTTCCATCATCTTCTCATCAGTGACATGCATCTAAACCAGGGGTGCCCATACTCGGTCCTGGAGGGCCGGTGTCCTGCAAAGTTTAGTTCCAATCCCAATTAGATGCACATGGGCTGGTAAATCAATAGGCTTTCTAGAAACATCCGTGCAGGTGTGCTGAGGCAAGTTGGAGCTAAAATCTGCAGGACATCAGCCCTCCATGACTGTGTTGGGGCATCCCCAATCTGATCTAAACAGTCTCTGGGTCAATGCGTGTAAAGAGTTTAAACATCTTCTTGGACACTTTTAATGCTTCCAAACAGTTTGCTGAAGTAGCTCATTATGATGCAATTTACCTTCTATGTGTGATTTGATTGACACAATTACAGGACTGATTTTTCTAATTCCCATAGACAAGAGAAAATAAAGTGGTGACTGCAGGTTGAAAGAAAGTAGTGGAGTAAAAGTACAGATACTGCACTAAAAATATACTCAAGGAAAAGTAAAAATACACATTTTTAAAACTTCTTAGTAAATTACAATTTCTGAGAAAAACTACTCAATTACAGTAATTTGAGTATTTGTAATTAGTTACTTTACACCACTGCCTGTTGGTTTGGCATGCTCTTGACAGGGCTTCATTTTTTTTAAACTGTAATTCTTTGGACAAGATTACTTTTTAAACAATGGAAAATCTCAGTTTATAAAATTATCCAGGGATGTGTGGACTATAGACCATTTCAATGAGGGAATGTCATTGACCCATGGACATTTCCTGCTTGTTATCAAACTATTTTACAACTGTAACACGAGGCAATTCATAACTTAATGTTAAAACAGCTATCATAACATTATTTGTCAATATGTGGCTCTTTTTGGATTCTCGGAAGCTATAGAAATTAAAAATGTAAAACAGGAAATACCCTGGGACCATTGTTTTTGTTTACATTCCTCAAAATGGTCTATAGGAAAAGATAACAAGAGAAACTGTTGCTTATATTGGCTTATATTAGTAATAATCTTGTGGACATACATTACAGTCTAAAATAAAAATGAAAAATATATAAATTAAATTTTATATATGAAAAATAAATCAAAAATAACATAAAATAAGCCCTTTTATTGCGTATGTGGGTGAAAAATGGTTGTATCTCTATTTAATCAGCGATTGTGATTTATTTATCGTGAAAATCGAAGATAGTTCCGCAAACATATTTATATTTTAGTTTGTTTACTGTTCACAATGACAAAAATATTAAAAGGAAAATTATAAAATGACATAATACACAAACACGTAAACAAATGTTATGTTTGTGAATGGTGTTTATCCTGCAGTGTTAGATGTTTACAGTTTGGTTTAGAGTGTTGGTTTATCAGCTTCTTTCACTCGCGATTGTTTGCAGTTAGCTGCATTAGGACATTGTTCCTAATGAGTCGAAGACACACCATTTCCCCTTTTAGAGAGCCTAGGGTACGTCCCCTCCCAAACAGACTCTGAAAATGAGCGTTAAAAGCTAAACATCTAAGTCTAAACAAGCCGCCCCATTTTCATTTTCCTTATCAATATCTATCACAGGAAGTCTAGGGCACAATCTTTGTGGCGCCTTCATGTCTGAGAACAGTTTGTCCATATGCCATAATTTATGTGTAAATAAGTTGAGACACATGTTTGATCAAAATGACAAACTCTTCCTGTGTGTTTGCTCGGCTTGATCTACCTTAATTCATGTTTTCATAAAGTCATAGACACCTTAGCGTGAATATGAAGCATCACTAGTTGGAGACGTCTCTATCTGTTTCCGGGATGGGACGGTACCTGTTGATCCCCTCCGAATATGTTGTCAAATCAGAGTAATGATGGAGAGGAGGAGGCAAGGACTGTTTGGCATTCCTCAGAGGACATGCTGCTCATTAAAGCCTTCATTAAACTCAGCTTAGTCTCCATTCTGATAGAGAGACCATCAAAGGCAATTACACTCAAGCAGGCATTTGCTCACCTGACTGAACACCAAACCTCATTTTGTTCCATTTGCGCTCTTGCTTAAAACGTGTTTGATAATATTATACATATTTATAATTAAATGTAGTATTTTATATTTATTAAATGTTTAACTTTATATTTTCGTTAATTATTCAATTGCTACTGTAAAATGACCAGTTATAGTTTGGTAGTAGCAAGTAACATTTACTTCACATGTAGCTTTAGCTGTGTTATTAAGAAAGTAATTTAAAAATGTGTTAATATCGAATTTAATACCTTATGAAATGTGCAACTACAACTAAACAAATAATATCAATAAACTTTATCTGAAAATACTACCATAATTTTAATAATTCATCATATGTGTACAACCGCCTTATAAACCACATAATAAAATTTGTATACATTATCAGTTTAGTCACACTCTAAGAAATAAATCTGTAAATTAACTGATGAAAGTACTGATTACCTGATTGCGGCACCATAATTTGAATGAATGATATTCAGTTGAAGTCAGAATTATATGCCCCCTGAATTATTAGCGCTTCTGTTTACCCCCCCACACCCCCCCCCCCCCCAAAAAAACCAAAAAAAAATCTGTTTAACGGAGAGAAGACACATTTCTAAACATAATAGTTTTAATAACTCATCTCTAATAATTGATTTATTTTATCTTTGCCATGATGACAGTCAATAATACTTTATTAGAGATTTTTCAAGACACTTCTATACAGCTTAAAGTGACATTTAAAGGCTTAACTAGGTTAATTAGATTAACTAGGCAAGTAACTAGGCAAGTTACTATATAACGATGTTTATTTCTGTAGACTATCGGAAAAAATGAAGCTTAAAGGGGCTAATAATTTTAAGCTTAAAATAGTTTTTAAAAATTTAAAAACTACTTTTATTCTAAATGAAATAAAACAAATAAGACTTTCTCCGGAAGAAAAATATTATCAGACATACTGTGAAAATTTCCTTGCTCTGTTAGACAGCATTTGGAAAATATAAAAAATAAATAAATAAAATATAAAGGGGGCTAATAATCCTGACTTCAACTATATATTTAATTACTAAAATCAAAAGTGCAGAGATCAAAGTCATGTAAAGGAATCTGAAACCCTAAATAAATGTGCAAATACTCATGAGTCAAGAAGTACTGAAACCTTTTGTTAAAAAATAAGTAGTCAGGCAACTGTGGATTTTAACAATGCAAAAGCCTTAGTGAAGTATACAGTACCCAGTATTAATAGCAGCAGGTTTCCATGTGCCGTTCGGTTGCTCCAAACAATGTGTTGTGTTTGGAGGTGACGTTGAGTGTGGCGTGCAAATGCATAAGGAAAATCAGAAACAAAAGCTTTATGTTTTTTTGTGCTTGTTGCATTGTATGTATGTTAAGCTGATGGAATCTCTATTAACGTGAAAGAATAGAGTGAGAACATGCTAAAAAAATAATTGAAGACAATATTCACAAAATAGTAATAACAAAGATATTGTTGTCACTTTTTCCAGACGCTACATGCATACTGAAGGCATTGAAAACACAAAATTCAGGCTGCTCAAATATTGAAGGATAAATGCATCATAAGAAAGTCCTTTATTATGATTGAATGTTAAAAGTTCTTAAAAGAATTTTAAAATTTCTTTAAAAAGAAATATCAACAGGGATTTTAAGACAGTGAGAATCGTCTCAAACGTACTCGGTGCGTTTTCCTGATCTATCCAAAGTTCTGGTATCCTGCCTTCGATGGTGATACACCAAGTGCGGCTCACTGTTTCCTGAGTCAGTGCAAGAGGCAAACAACAGCACGGATGCCACAATGTAAAGAAGTCCTGCAGACCAGCCAATGAACAGCGCATCCCCAAACTCAGAGCGCGGCACCACATGAGGCACACTCTCATCGAAGTATCTCATCACTGTATCGTGAGCAACATAAGATATTGGAGTGAGAACCAACAAACCGGCGATGCACAAAAACACGGCAGCTGAGATCTTCAGCCCTCTCTTGGTCTTGCGTCCCTCCTCGCCCTTACAGCACTTGATCTGACTCATGGAAGGGATGGCGAGGAGAATCCCGAGGAGCCCAGTGGCATTCGACATGCACATCAGAATTCGTGCCAGCATCACAGTGGGGTCAAGACCTAGGATGGTGTCATAGGGACGACACTCCATGCCAGCCACTTCCTGGATCACACAGACCTCCCAAAGCCCTTGTTCAAAGCTCTCTGTGGCGAACAGTTCAGTTGAACGTGACAGCCACTGAGGCATGATGGTGGCGGCCAGTGAACAGAACCAGCCTCCTGCCCCGATCAGCATCCCAAAGAGTTCCAGAGCCACCGTGCAAGGGTTTGTCATGGTCTCCTCTGGCTACCGTGTCCCCTTGGGGTCCGACGGCCTTCAGGTTTGTCTGGTGCTTCAAGAGCCTCCTCTCGATAAGAGAAATGAGTGAGGGATAGAGGAGGAAAGCGTGGAAAGACCAAAAGCAGCACCTCGGGTGTGATCTTGCAGAGTTCTTCTGACAAGGCAAGTCCTTCACAGTCCGTCAGACTTCAGTAAGAGGCACTCATCAGCTGAACATGAGAGGTAGAGGAGGTGTACACATGGGCACTTCGACTTTAGGCCCTGCCCTCTTGGATCCTTTTTAGAGAGAGGGAGAGAGAGAGAGGGTGAGAGAGAGAGAGAGAGAGGTAAAGATTCTTATTCAGACCCCGGTCTGGCAGCAAGAGACCAAAGGCCACACGGGATGCCATTAAACTGTAGACAGGATGCCATTAAAATCCTGATTGTTGTCATTTTCAGGGGACAAACTATTTTGATTTTACTACCTCATTACAGTTTGTTTGTATCTTTTTATTTGATTTCCCTGCTATCGGCAACAGCACTTGGGCAAAAGAGAAAAGGGGTTGCCATGGGTAAAAGTAAAAGGTTTATAAAGGGAGGAACGCTTTTACTGTTTATGAAGGATTTTTTGAGGAACGAATGGGTCAGAGATAAGCTTTGCTAAGAAGAGCATGCCAAAACTGCAATGAGTACCTAAGCAGAGATCTTTGATGTTTGCTGACAATAAGTCCAGGATGTTTTTATTTGATTTTTTTAAGTAAAATATTTTATGTTTATATTTTATAGCATTATTATCATTATCACTACTACTTTTATTATTATTATTATTATTATTATTATTATTATTATTATTATTGGTGCTACTAATTGTTCTTTTTATTATTATTATTATTATTATTATTATTATTATTATTGGTGTTACTAATAGTTCTTCTTCATGTTATTATTATTATAAATATTATTATTATTATTATTATTATTATTCGTAGTAGTAGTAGTAGTAGTAGTGGTAGTGCTACTACTACTACTACTACTACTACAACTACTACTACTACTACTTTTTATTACTTATATTATTATTATTATTATTAGTAGTAGTAGTAGTAGTAGTAGTAGTAGTAGTAGTAGTACTACTATTATTATTGTTATTATTGTTACTACTACTACTACTTTTTATTATTGTTATTATTATTATTATGATACTACTAATACTACAACTTTATATTATTATTAATATTATTACTATAATAATAATAATAATAATAAGTAGTAGTAGTAGTAGTAGACAATAGTATACAAAACTATTGTATTTAAAATAATAATAATAAAGTAGTATTATTACTATTGTAATTATTATCATTATTATTACTGCTAATACTTCTACTTTATATTATTATTATTATTATTATTATTATTATTATTATTATTATTATTATTATTATTATTATTATTATCAAAGAAATCAGTTTAAGCTGTTTTGCAGTGGGATCTGAAAGACTTTTTTCCATTAAACCTAATAATTAATTTAATTTCTTCAGCATTAAAATGTTTGCATGATTTGTGAATGATCCTCTTTTGAATCACTTTGATCATCTGTACATATCTTGTCTTAGAAGTGCTCTTTTAAAACATTTTATTTCAGGTATGCAAGTGACATGGCATCTAAAATAACATCCATTGAATTCAATGAATGTATCTATTCAAAATAAATTGAAACTCAAACCCTTACAGAAAAAAAATTGTTAAGATGTTTTTGCTGATTTCAGTATTTACAGATTTTCAGTATTTTCTGTTACCTTTAAAACATTTCTCTGGCTTTTCTGTGTGCAAATAAAACATAAAGAAAATATAAGTTTGTATTCCAAAGCCCTTCTTATGTCACATGCAGCATCTTATATTTTGATATATAATAATAATATAAAGTAGTACAATCAGTACTACAACTATAAGAATAATAATGCTATCTATATATATATCAATATATATAATATTTTACATTTAACAAGCATCTGTCATTAAATGTTAAGGCGAATGATCAAAGCTTCAAGCAGTTTTGAACAGTTGTCTTATTATTACATTTTGTGCAGTAAACCACTATCATTGATACGTTTACATTTACATTTAGTCATTTAGCAGACGCTTTTATCCAAATGAGGACAAGGTAGCAATTTACACAACTATAAGAGCAACAATGAATAAGTGCTGTAGGCAAGTTTCAGATCTGTAAAGTGTAAGAAGCAAAACATTAGTAATTCTTTTTAAAAAAATTTGTAATACAGTTAGCGGTGGAGCCAGAGAGGCAATTGCAGATTAGGAAGGAAAGTGGAGACTAAATAGTTGATCATTACTTTTTAACTGTATATAAAAATGCTCAAGAAAATGAGTGTTACCTGAAGTGTGAGTCTGTCGCCTTTGGTTTGATATCTGGCTTCTACAGCATGTCAAATTACATTAAGACTGTATCACACTTCTGTCAGAAAGCCACGTAGGGCAGAGTGAGAGAAATCTGTGACGCCACACAGAGGCTGTCCACAAACACATAATTGCCTTTTAACAAACACATAATTTCAGACACTCACATTTCACTTTGTCTGAGAATAATGTTTGTTAAAGCAAAAAAATAAAAATAAAACAATAGTATGTCATTTCAACTATTATCAGTTTTAATTCAACTTTCAACTCAACTTAATTCAACTCATTTTATTATAAAGTCTTTATTCTGTTCTTATATTAAAAATTGTAAATACAAATTAAAGGGATAGTTCACCTAAAAGTGAAATTATCTCATTATTTACTTTCCCTCATGTGGTTTTAAACCATTAGGAGTTTCTTTCTTCTGCTGCACACAAAAGAAGATATGTTCTAGAATGGTAGTCACTGACAACTATCGACTGCCATAGTAAGAAAAAATACTATGGAAGACAATGGGTACCATCAGTGAGAAGTATTAAAAATTATCTTCTTTTTTGATCAAGAAGAAAGAAACTCAAATAGGTTTTGAACAAGGGAAGGGCAAGTAAATGATTGCAGAATATTCATTTTGGGTGAACTTTCCCAAATAAATAAATGAATTTTCTTCCACAGGGGAACCACCAACTTATGCAGCGGATGCTCTTCCAGTTGCAACCCATCACGGGGAAACACCCACACACCCTCATTCACACACATACACCATAGACAATTTTGCTTATCCAGTTCACTTAGAGCATGTCTTTAGACTTGTAGAGGAAACCGGAGCACCCATGAGGAAACTCACGTGAACATGGAGAGGACATGCAAACTCCAGATAGAAATGGCAACTGACTCAGCCGAGGCTCAAACCAGCGACCTTCTTGCTGTGAGGTGACAGCGCTACAAACTGCCCCACTGCACCGCCCCAAATAAATACTGTAATAAATAAATACTGTAGGTAGCAAAAAAGTATAAATTCAGTGGAATGGTTGGGTTTAAAGATGTGCAAAATGTAGAGGTAAATTCAACAATATAATTAAAGTTGTAACTGCAGAAATTATTTACACATGAAATTAATAATTAGGCTACATTGTATCTATTGATTCATTTAATGTAAATGTTGTGTTGGGGATGCTGTTAGTATGTCTTAAATCATGCCCTATGATTACATAATTCAATTAATTAATAGATTTTAATGAATACTTGGGGTGAGGCAGTGGCGCTGTAGGTAGTGCTGTCGCCTCACAGCAAGAAGGTCACTGGTTTGAGCCTTGGCTCAGTTGGTGTTTCTGTGTGGAGTTTGCATGTTCTGTCTGTGTTCGAGTGGGTTTGCTCCGGGTGCTCCGGTTTTCCCCACAGTCCAAAGACATGCGGTAAAAGTGAACTGGGTAGGCTAAATTGTCCGTAGTGTATGAATGCGAAATAGTGTGTGTGTGGATGTTTCCCAGAGATGGTTTGTGGCTAGAAGGATATCCGCTGCATAAAAATGTGCTGGATAAGTTGAAGGTTTATTCTACTGTGGCGACCCCAGATTAATAAAGAGACTAAGCCGAAAAGAAAATGAATGAATGAGTGAATAATGAATACTTTAATTGTTGGACTGCTAGTTCACAATACACGTGTGAAATAAAATACACAATCATCAAACATCCACAACCATTTAAAGGTACAGGTCAGTGGCGTAGCGCAAAATGCGGAGGCCCCCCTGCAGGGATCACCGACTGAAGGGGGGGGGGGGGGGGGGGGGGGGGCGTTGCTTATACAGAGATATACACATATATCTATGATAGGGAGTTTTCCTGGATGTTAGTATGCAAAAATTTTTTTTAATGAAAATTATTATTTTACATCACTTTTCTACATTGATGGATCACTGATCGCACGGGCATTCCTGACAAAGAGCTTGTGTTTGCGTGTACAGAAATGTACTATCCACCCTCGCTGTTAAATTTGATCTAATCCGTGTCCTGAAACACAGCTCCTCTCCTGCTTTCACTTCTCATACTGACAGAGGGAGCGATTTGTTTGTGAAAGAATCTCCGTTATGAACGACACTTTCACTAGCCGACAGTAATACAAGTTTCTGGCAGCGCAGCATCTCGTTGTCATATTTATTATGCATTGTTTGCTGATTTTATTCAACAAAACTAGCATAAGCCGAGTATTTAGTGTGAGTTGGAGCTGCTTTGCCTTATGATTAATGCAGTAAGTGACTGTTATCATCAATAACGTTACCTGTTTAGCACAAAGTTCAGAACATACAAAAATAGATAAAAACTTAATCTGACCTATGAAATGTTCTGCCTTTGTGCTTTGTTTTCTTTGTTTGTTCGTTACTACACTCGTAGACAGCGCTAAAGTCCCGCATCTTCACGTAATAACACTGTCCTGACTAGTGCGGTTGAATGACATTTGTCCTGGAAGCACTGTACCAATGTGGCGGCGCTATAGACGCATGCTCAGGGTCCCTATGCGATATCTAGTGTATATATCTATGTCACAAATTGAGGAGCGGGGAAAATAGGCGGGGTGGATCGACAACGCGGGGAATTTTTCACAAACTGAGGAGCGATCACAAATCGAAAGCCGCGAGAGCGTCAAAGTAGCCAGAAGTCATTCATTTTTTTTAACGAGAACCGGCGGCGAGAAACAGCGGCGCGTCTTTATTGGCCATGACGCGGTTCGGCGGCAAGCAATCAGAATGAAGTAGTCCACCGACCGCTTGAGAGGTGTTCAGAGAACACAGACCTGTGAACTTTGGTTCCGACCACAGTTGTTCCCAAGAGTTTGATTATTGCGGTTCCCGAATTTTCAATTATTGAAAATCGCGACGACGTGGGGCCCCCTAATCACGCGGGCCCCCCCCGCGGTGCGTGCCCTGCGGGCCCGTCCGCTACGCCACTGGTACAGGTACATTGTAAACCCCAGCAATTAGTGAGGGTTGTTAAAGTTATGTCATTTCCAGTGATTCATTCATTTATTTTATTTTTGGCTTAGTCCCTTAATAATCAGGGGTCACCACAGCGGAATGAACCACCAACTTATCTAGCATATGTTTTAGGCAGCAGATACCCTTCCAGCTGCAACCCAACACTGGGAAACACTCATACACACTCATTCACAAATATTATGATGAGAAAATTGGACGAGTAGGAGTGAAAAGAAAACAAAACGCACTGCTTAATCCTTCCAAAAACAGGCATCTCTAATAAATAAATCAACATTTAATCTGTGACAATTTTTATATGTTTCGCAAAGTTAAAAGTGTGTCAGTGATCGAATATAGACCTCAGAGAAAGGTAAATGATGGATGGTCCCATTCGACAAGCAAAAACCAGAAATACAAAACAACACAATACTTTCATTACTAGGTAGATTATTGCTGTTGCAAAGAGCTGAAGAAATCGGAGCTATCTCTTGATGGCGCTATTGAACAAAAAATGGACGCTGAGTCAAAAGGTGATTTTTGAGTTTCTGGATAAATCGTTTAGTTATAAGAAATATTTTCGGATTAATACAAAACATTTATACATTCACCATACACTATATATACATATATATGAAAAAGTGAAATTGTGATTAGACTTTTTTTTTCTTTAAATACAGCCCCAATAAATATTTTAAAAAGATAGAGGTAGATTAAAATAGTTTAACATGAGCACAATACCATAAACATTTATTTGTGTAATTACATTTATTACCACTTCTAAAAACTTACTGAATCCGCGTTAAAAAAAAAAAACTTCATCCACTTCCATCAACAAGTATCCCAAAATCATACGAGTTCCCTCATTGGCTTACTTTCACATACGTCAGGGTTTATGGGCGGCTCTCATGCAAATTTCCCTGCCCGAATATGGACAGTGTGGAATGAAAGATGGTAGATAGAGTCAAACATGGAGGACCGACACACAGAGTCATGAGAGCGCCGCAAAACTTTTTGGAAAAGCTGGACGCAGGACTACCTGTGTCGATTTGACCCGCGTTCGTTTCTTCGTCGTGAAGCTTTCCCTTTCCGAGAGCCGATGGGAGTTCAACGTTTGTAATGCTGTAGAAAGTTCCGATATATTTGTTGTTGGAGTAAAGGCAGGGGGTCAGACCCCCCTACCGCCCCAGCAGCGATATGCCGTGGGTGAGCAGCTGTAAGCGGAGAGAGAGCTCGGAGCTGCCGCTGCCCCCGGGCTGGGAGGAAGCCAGGGATTACGATGGCAGAGTCTTTTACATTGACCACAACACTCGACAGACTTCGTGGATCGACCCCAGAGACAGGTAAAAGCGGCCGGGAGAGCTGCTGCATGCGTTATTGGCTCAACTTTGAAGATTGTTTGGTTGTGGAGGGCGGGGGCTCAGATTGAACTGATGATTAAGAAGCGAGGGAAGTTGCACAGTTAGGAATGGAAGTGTTTTCATTCCACACGCTTGACAACTGTGGAACATGGCTGGATCTTTGTTTCTTTTAATTCCTTAACGGTTGGCTCGCCAATTTGCTGTCACGTTGTGGGCTAATGATGTATTACATTTTTCAATGACTGTTCACCTGAGTGAAAAAAAACCTGGAGTGAAATGGGTATTTCATTGATCTTTTATTGTAGCATTTGTATGAACACTCTCTTTATATTGTTTGGGTGGATTCACAATTAACAGCATCAGCAAAGATGAGACGATTGTTGATGCTTTTTGATGGGTTTAAAGAGCTCCCAGGTGTAATAGCTGACAGGACATGCCTGTCGTATGGTGTTTGAATTAACGTTAGCTAGATTTTTACAGTGTAAATTTATGCATTTCAATCTTAACATAAAATAACATTTTTCTTAAACAATTAACTATGTAAGCATAAAAATTATTTATTTTACACGTTTTTATATAGCCTACTAACAATCGTGTCAGCCATGTTTAGAATGTAATACAATTGGTGACAATTTCAAGACCCCTATTTAAGGGTCACAATATAATTAATGTAGTATTTATACATTGTAATTTTGACACTTTATAGCAACTATCTATAAAGGGTTAGTTAAGCCAAAAATGGAACATTCTGACTGTCCTTTAACTACCTTTAACCACTATCCGTTAGTCTCCTTATTTGTTGACAACATACTAATAAAGTAGACAATAGAGGATAATAATCATGCTGTTTATTTTCATGGCAATGGAATATTATTTCACCACTATTTTGGCATTATTTTCTCAAATGTTATTTGAAACATTACAGTAGACGACTGTACTTGTAATTAATTTGCTTTCTAATATTAATTGGCTTTGGTACATTTATTTTGATTTAGACACCAAAGCGGCACATCACATATTTAACACACATTTACACACACGTGTTTTATTTTGTTTATTTCTCTGTTCTTTATGTTTAATTTGGTATTGTCCAGTATAAAATAGTATATTAAGGCTTTGAAAAAAAGGTCATTGAGTTTATTATACAAAAAGTACATTAAGGGTATGTATTAACACTGCCTTGTAGATTAATTCTTACTAGATTTTTTAATAGGCACTGTTCTTTGCGATTGTTTATAGTCTTTATTAGGCATATGTTATAATTGCAATAATTACTCAAGCTTTTATAATGATATATTGTATTGTAACAATATTAAAATACACTGCAAAAGGGGTTACTGTAAAAATGTTGTAAAACAACCAAAACACTTCCAATTATACAACAATCTTAACGTTCTAAATTCTCTTTTATTACAAAGAAAACAATCTGAATGTTCTTCAAATGCACTAGTTTACCATAAATTATTATCTATATTCTTTTTAAGTGTCAATGATAACGATATCATGTTTGTTGTCACAGTGTATAATTGTTTAGTCTTTAATAAGGCTCTAACACAAATTAAGAAGTGTAAGCCAATTTAAAATGAGAGAATTGCCAATAATAACCAAATAGCTGTATGATTTGAGAATAATTCCATTGGTTTAATCAGAAGTTAGTGACAAATTATTTGTGCTATTGACCTGAGCTAGATGCATGATATTTGATTACACTTACATCTCCTGTTATAAATATTGCACAATTCTTCTGTTGTTGACTATAACAAAAATGAGCTTTTCATCCAATGTGACCCACATAATTTCCCCCTTGAGCATTTTTGACTAGATAGCATCATTAGCATACAACAAAAATCTTACATAGCCTTCTTTTTTCATCTTATTTTTGTGCATTTATTTCTCACATTATATAATTGTGCAGTGGTATCTTGCTGGTACTTTTGAGCATTTCTAATCAACAGAAGCTGCTTTCAATGTTCCATGAAATCAAAGAAATGTCCTATTTTAATTGAGTTATTAAAATCATATATTTTCCCCCTTTATTATTTTTAAAAAAAGTGGCCGCATAATGTAAACAGTGTATAAATGAAAGAGAGAATTGAACTGTAGTTCCAAGAGTTCCATGTGCAAATATGTATGGAATGCTAGTTGGGCCGCTGGGAAAGAAGTGTGTGGATGTGCTTTGTGAGGTCTGTATTTTTCACCAGTAGAGAAACCAGCCTTTCAGTCCGACTCATTTAAACATGAGTTCACTAAGCCTTGAGTAAATCAAATAGAATGGACTGGCTGCCTTGAGGGTATTTAACACGGTTTCATCATAATTTGTATGGTCACTTGGGTCAAAAAAATGAGCAAAGGGATCACCACATCAGATCAGTTCTTTCATTGTGGGACTCTCAGTGGATTGTGTCATCAGTCAGAGAACAGATCAAATTAGTTACATTTTTACCACTAATGTTTATGTAATTTTTGACGCTTATAACAAGGCTTGTGCTGTATTTCTTGTTCAGATATCAAAACCTCTTGATTAGAGAATCATTTTTGTCATTGATATTAAAATCACAATGCTGTCGAAGTCACAAATGTGTCAACATCCCACACAAATTGCAGGTCTTTCACTTTTGCATTCATTGCCAATGTGCTATCTTCAGTACATTTCATTTTCACTTAGAAGTCCTCCTTCCACTTTTCTCCCTCTCTCTATTTCATGAGAAGAAGCTTGAAATTAATCTAGATAAGAAAAACCTGATCTGCTTGAAGGCTCATCTCGAAAGTCACGTGACCTGCTTTTTTTTTTACATAAGGCTGATTAGTGTCTCTGAAATCTCATATTTTTGTGTGCTAAGAAGTTATTCAGCAGATGTTGAGGTGATTTTGTGAGGACAACACGTCGAACTGGGGCGCTCATGTGGGCGACATGAGTTCAAGTCGGTCTCATGACATTCCCTCGCTTATCCTCTCTCTCTTCTCCTTATTGTTTTCTGTCTGACAAATATAAATGGCGGAATAGCTGGAAATAATACTAGAAAGATATACACAATGGAACTTCAGTTATTATGGCTTTGCGTCTTTAGCAGTTCAGTTTTACCACTTTTGTACCCATTCAGGTGATCTCTGGGTCTAGCGGGAACACTTTTAGCTTAGCTTAGCATAAGTCATTGAATCAGATTAGACAATGAAATTAAACTGATATTATGCAGCACCTAAAAATAGTCCTTAACTAGGTAGCATTGCTGTGTGCTTGATTATTGCGCCCGAATGAGTGCATAGTTTCTTGCCATATCAATCATTTTCTTTTCGGCTTAGTCCCTTTATTAATCTGGGTTCACCACAGCGGAATGAACTGCCAACTTTCATTCATTCATTCATTCATTTTCTTGTCGGCTTAGACCCTTTATTAATCTGGGGTCACCACGGCGGAATGAACCGCCAACTTATCCAGCACGTTTTTACGCAGCGGATGCCCTTCCACCCATCTCTGGGAAACATCCACACACACATTCACACACACACACACACACACACACTCATACACTACAGACAATTTAGCCTACCCTATTCACCTGTACCACATGTCTTTGGACTGTGGGGGAAGCCGGAGCACCCGGAGGAAACCCACGCGAACGCAGGGAGAACATGCAAACTCCACACAGAAACGCCAACTGAGCCGAGGCTCGAACCAGTGACCCAGAAACCTTCTTGCTGTGAGGCGACAGCACTACCTACTGCGCCACTGCTTCGCCCGAACTGCCAACTTATCCAGCATATGTTTTACACAGCGTCCCTTCCAGCTGCAACCCACCACTGGGAAAACATCAATACACACTCATTCGCACACATACACTATGGACAATTTAGCTTACCCAATTTACCTATCCCACATGTCTCTGGACTTGTGGGGGAAACCAGAGCACCCTGAGAAAACCTGAAACATGGGGAGAACAAACTCTACACAGAAATGCCAACTGACCCAGCCGAAGCTCGTACCAGCGACCTTCTTGCTTTGAGGCCACCGTGCTGCCTTCTAGCCATATATATATATATATATATATATATATATATATATATATATATATATATATATATATATATTTTTTTTTATAGAGCGAGAAGCTAATGGTCTTATCGGATTCAATGATTTATGCTAACATAGTTTTCAAACAAGTGTTCCTTAAAAATTATTAAGCAAATTTACTATCTACTTAATTCTAAAAGTTGAGTCTGCTTGTCTATGAGTTACTACTGGTTTACTCAAGTTTTTAAAGTAAAATAATAGCTTTTTTACAGTTACAACAATATTTAACTAAAATTGATGTACTGTCTTATTACGGGCTTGTCACTTTTGAGCTTTATTGTTTATTGTATATTTATCAAGATTGATTTTTGTTCTCTCAGAACAGGTTAGTTTAGTCTGAGGTCAGATGCAAGACATGCATTTTTGTCAAATATTTAGTTATGTTGTATATTTAGTTGTCTCATCATAATGCACTGTTGACAGTTAAGGGTTTATTTTTTTATTGACATGCAGATGCAAATGTATTTGAGTTGATGAACATCTAGTTGAGTTATTTTAGGTTAATTTATTCAGAAATAAAAAGAGACACTTTCTGGAAGAGATACTGAAGCACACTTCTTATCAGATTTTCCCCAAGCTTTAGTTAAGCATAATTGTAGCTTAGTATTTTGAAGGACAAACCAGGCCATAGAGAAAGGCCACTGAAAGTTTTATCTATTATTTTCAAACTTTCAGCTTTGATTGAATCTGTTGCTTAAGTTTATGGATATGTCTTGCTTTTTTTTTTTACAATATTTATCTGCTGCTTCACTGGTCATTGAATTTCATTGAAAGTCGGGGCATTATTATTGTTTTTTCCAAGTCATGGAATATCAGGAATTTTGTTACTAATTTAAAAAAATGCCTTGTATTTATAAAAAAAAAATTCAGATTATTGTGGACAAAATTTTGACAGCACATTTTCTCATTTTCT